ATTACAGAATAAAGACATTTTCAGGATAAAATAACTGGAAATATGAAAATGTTTCCAAATATGAATAAACCAGGAAATCTTTTTTACACTTCATAAATACTTTTATTTTATGTGTGACGTAAATTCACTACCTTATTTATTAATTAACAAAGTCGTAGTTCTGTATCAGAGGCCAACAAATACAAATGTCGATTTTCGTTTTTTAAATATTTAAGTAAAATGTTTTGAAAAACTATTGCACTTAATATTTTTCTACTCTTCCCTAAAAAACAAAATACGAATCAATGGCATTTATTGAGACAGAGCTTCAGATGAACATTTTTTAGAAATTAAAATGAGAGATTAACNGCGATTGTTAAAGACAAATTTGTATTTACTAGGTGTGCTTATGGATAACTAGTCATTATGCTTTTAGATAGTTATAGTCATAAGACGCGGAAAAGGTTTTGAGTTTAACCTAAAATCTCATAGTTCCAATGCATCCCAGCTGAGCCATATTACTATCTTTCTCTTCGCCTTTCTCCAAGTAATACATTACGTAATATGGATTGATAACAACATAACTAACAAGTTAATGAGTCACTCGTTATCAATGTGTCGATATCGTGTCAAACATTAATATATCATTTGTTTACCAAATAATATTTTCTATTCAATTTATTATTAATAAAAATAAATAAAATTATATCAGAAAACGACTTAAAACTTATAAAATTAACTAACGGTAGTTCAATTAAAAAAAAATTAACTTGAACGGATATGATTCAAACCTCAAATAAATTAAATAGAAATTAATATTGACGGCTTTCGGTTTTAATCTTATTAATGTATATAGATACGATTGATAGCAATTTCATGAATCAACTAGTTATCAGAATGCGGTTTATTGATTGTCATACCAATAAGTCGCATAAATTGTATTTTGATTGAAAATAAAAACAGGTTTGTAAGTTGCAACCGCAGCAGAGTGTAATGTTTTTTTTTTTTAATAACTCATTGTTTGTTTGTCACACTATAAATAATAACCCATTACAACAAATTTAAAAGTTTGTTTTGAACAATTAGAGATAATTTTGCTAAACATGACCTAAATAGTATGAGCGTTTACTGAGATTGGTTTCATTGACAAAATGTAATTCGTTCAGGAATGATTGATGATAACACATTTTTTTAATAATCTCAAGAGTTTGAAAATAATATAAAAATATTTTATTGACGGGACGAACTCGACGGTCTATAATAAAGAACATAAAAACCCTAAATCGCCAAGGGGAGAGAGTGCAAAATTTTCAAGAGGTCATCACACCAAACTGCAAACGGAATAATATAGTGTGATAAATGAGAATGTCATGTAAAGTAGTTTACTTACTCGCATACAAAATAAATTTTAACAGACAAATTGTCGCAGTAAACGTTTTATAAATGTAATATTATTACTCAGCTAATGGACAGATTTTTTTTTTTTATAGAAACCGTTTAAATTTTGCAAGGGTAAATTAACCAAATGGATTTATTAAGAGGAAATTATATTAAGTATTACTATTAAAAAGAAACATCATAAAATATAACTTGATGTATATAAAAACTTAATAACAAAAAATAGAGAAATAGTAATTGAAATTCTAATACTGTTAAGAAATAATAAACAAAAACACGTGTTTGAGTATAGTCACAATTTCAATAATAATTTCATTATAAAACGTAAACAGTATAATGTTTCAAACAATTTTACAGGGCAGTAATTAATAGAGAATTGCATGATCGATATCAGTTTGAAAAATTGTTTTGTGTAGTTAAAGATTTTTAAACTATGTCAATAGTAACTAATGAACGAGCATTTTTGCGTTCAAATGTTGTTCGGTTAATTTTGTGCAGTTGTGTAAAAGAATAATAACATACTTATTTGAAGAACTAAATAAAATTGATAACAAAAACATAAATACGTAAAAAAACCGGTTGTTTTTTTCACATGGCTAATGATAATTTAACATCATCATCACGTTGCAAGGAAATCCCGTGTCGCAAATAACATCTTTGTTTCCATTTGCGCAGATATTAACATAGTTCAAAGATCTATTTGTTTTTAAATGGTTGTTGTTTATTGTTTAATGAACAATACGGAAAAAGAGATAAAAACGAAAAAAACAATTTTTAAAATCACTGAAACTATTACTACGAAAATATTACAGAATAAAGACATTTTCACAATAAAATAACTGGAAATATGAAAATGTTTCCAAATATGAATAAACCAGGAAATGTTTTTTACACTTCATAAATACTTTTATTTAATGTGTGACGTGAATTCACTACCTTATTTATTAATTAACAAAGTCGTAGTTCTGTAACACAGGCCAACAAATACAAATGTTGATTTTCGTTTTTTAAATATTTAAGTAAAATGTTTTGAAAAACTACTGCGCTTAATATTTTTCTACTCTTCCCTAAAAAACGAAATACGAATCAATGGCATTTATTGAGACAGAGCTGAGATGAAAATATTTTAGAAATCTAAACGAGAGAATAATTGCTACATCAAAATCATAGTATTATAACAATATTACACAAAATTTATAAATTATTGTGTCAACGTATATTAATAGTGAGTATATATTCGTGATAAAAAGAGTAAACTTCTACCAATAACTGACGCCTTTTTTAGCAGATTTTTCTCAACACTACTGTTAATGATAATATTATCAATATTAATTATTTAATTAAATTTATTACGATAGCCATGATATTGTACTGTAGATAATTTGTACGCGTGTGATATTCAGTAGTAACTATTATAAATTAAGTAAATTNCAACTAGTTATCAGAATGCGGTTTATTGATTGTCATACCAATAAGTCGCATAAATTGTATTTTGATTGAAAATAAAAACAGGTTTGTAAGTTGCAACCGCAGCAGAGTGTAATGTTTTTTTTTTTTAATAACTCATTGTTTGTTGGTCACACTATAAATAATAACCCATTACAACAAATTTAAAAGTTTGTTTTGAACAATTAGAGATAATTTTGCTAAACATGACCTAAATAGTATGAGCGTTTACTGAGATTGGTTTCATTGACAAAATGTAATTCGTTCAGGAATGATTGATGATAACACATTTTTTTAATAATCTCAAGAGTTTGAAAATAATATAAAAATATTTTATTGACGGGACGATCTCGACGGTCTATAATAAAGAACATAAAAACCCTAAATCGCCAAGGGGAGAGAGTGCAAAATTTTCAAGAGGTCATCACACCTAACTGCAAACGAGATATAGTGTGATAAATGAGAATGTCATGTAAAGTAGTTTACTTACTCGCATACAAAATAAATTTTAACAGACAAATTGTCGCAGTAAACGTTTTATAAATGTAATATTATTACTCAGCTAATGGACAGATTTTTTTTTTTTATAGAAACCGTTTAAATTTTGCAAGGGTAAATTAACCAAATGGATTTATTAAGAGGAAATTATATTAAGTATTACTATTAAAAAGAAACATCATAAAATATAACTTGATGTATATAAAAACTTAATAACAAAAAATAGAGAAATAGTAATTGAAATTCTAATACTGTTAAGAAATAATAAACAAAAACACGTGTTTGAGTATAGTCACAATTTCAATAATAATTTCATTATAAAACGTAAACAGTATAATGTTTCAAACAATTTTACAGGGCAGTAATTAATAGAGAATTGCATGATCGATATCAGTTTGAAAAATTGTTTTGTGTAGTTAAAGATTTTTAAACTATGTCAATAGTAACTAATGAACGAGCATTTTTGCGTTCAAATGTTGTTCGGTTAATTTTGTGCAGTTGTGTAAAAGAATAATAACATACTTATTTGAAGAACTAAATAAAATTGATAACAAAAACATAAATACGTAAAAAAACCGGTTGTTTTTTTCACATGGCTAATGATAATTTAACATCATCATCACGTTGCAAGGAAATCCCGTGTCGCAAATAACATCTTTGTTTCCATTTGCGCAGATATTAACATAGTTCAAAGATCTATTTGTTTTTAAATGGTTGTTGTTTATTGTTTAATGAACAATACGGAAAAAGAGATAAAAACGAAAAAAACAATTTTTAAAATCACTGAAACTATTACTACGAAAATATTACAGAATAAAGACATTTTCACAATAAAATAACTGGAAATATGAAAATGTTTCCAAATATGAATAAACCAGGAAATGTTTTTTACACTTCATAAATACTTTTATTTAATGTGTGACGTGAATTCACTACCTTATTTATTAATTAACAAAGTCGTAGTTCTGTAACACAGGCCAACAAATACAAATGTTGATTTTCGTTTTTTAAATATTTAAGTAAAATGTTTTGAAAAACTACTGCGCTTAATATTTTTCTACTCTTCCCTAAAAAACGAAATACGAATCAATGGCATTTATTGAGACAGAGCTGAGATGAAAATATTTTAGAAATCTAAACGAGAGAATAATTGCTACATCAAAATCATAGTATTATAACAATATTACACAAAATTTATAAATTATTGTGTCAACGTATATTAATAGTGAGTATATATTCGTGATAAAAAGAGTAAACTTCTACCAATAACTGACGCCTTTTTTAGCAGATTTTTCTCAACACTACTGTTAATGATAATATTATCAATATTAATTATTTAATTAAATTTATTACGATAGCCATGATATTGTACTGTAGATAATTTGTACGCGTGTGATATTCAGTAGTAACTATTATAAATTAAGTAAATTTCAAGCATACTGTTAGGGACATTGTCAATTGACATAATGTTAAATGATATTTTTACCGTATACACGTTTTACTTTTACTTTTATAATAGTCAAAACTATGTTATGTTTAATGTTTATCTGCTATTAATTAAAAACTATTAAGTACTCATTAATGTACATCATTTTAGCAATTGACCGTTAACATAATTAAAAATCTTTACAGTTCAGACAACCCGTTTCGATTTGTTGATCATTAAATTGTATTTTAATTTGTATATTAATTTTTCACTTACTCGTCATTTGCAGTGTGAGCATCATACAGAATCCGACAAAAATGGCCATCAAATGTAGGAAACCGGCCTGTTTGTGTCTGGCCAACACTTCAAAAAAGACAACGTACAACAAAGTACCGGCGGCCAGCCCTTGAAGAATAACGGCCACAGTACCAGGAGATCCATCAATGGCACCACCGGCACCATATCTGACTAGCCACATGCCGGCGACAATTCCAACAGGAGTAACTACGGCGAACGTAGCCACGTACATGACGAGTACGGGCACGCGAGTTTTGGACCACGCCAGTTCCAACCCGACGCAAAAGGCTATGACTAACTTGTGCGTGGCTACGGCGATAAACAGATACCAGACGTTCTCGATGCGTTCTTCCAATCCGATAGCCAATCCCTCGAAAACTTCGTGGAACGACAGTGCCAGTACGGCGAACAGCCCGCGAAACGATCGATTGGCCGATTTTCTTTGTCCTACATTAGTCGATTTGGACTGTTCTTCCGGATCACGAATCTGTCGATTATTCCACGATGCGTGGTACCTTTTGTCTTTGGAATCATTGAGCAATTCGTTGATGCTGGCCGTGGACGCGCCCGTCACGGAGGGCACGGACGTCGGAGACCCCGTAAGTGATGCCCGCGGTATGGACATGGTACACCGTCGCATGCTCATCGATCTGTGTAGCACTACTTCAGATTCGTCTTCAGAGTCTGCCGAACACTTGTCCAAAATAGAATGCACAATCTCGTCGAGGAAATAAACGAGGAAAAATCCGGCGCAGAATATCAAATCGCCCAGGCTGCTGAGATCTTCTGGCAACATACCCGCCTCCTGAAGGTTGTGAACACCCTCGCGGACTTCGGGTTGAAGGTGGAGCAACGTGGTGAATAACAATACTCCGCCGCCAAAACATAACAAAAGAGACACGATAGGTGAAGAAGACGCAGACGATCCCGGATGGTGCGAATGTCCCTGATGCGATTCTTCGCCCGAGTTGCCATCTTTATGCCACCACTTGGCTAGCTTGACGGGTATAACGCCTAGTACAAACGATCCCAAACCTAGTACAACCATGGCCAACGTTTTTGCCATCGTCACATCGTCCATCAGAGCTAGCGAAGACGTGTTAACCTTCGTGTCGCTATTAGACGTCTCCATGTCAATTATTAATTTATTTCAATAAATCGTTTAATAACGTCAAACTATAAAATTAAAAAACAAAAATATTACGTTTTAAGTATGTGTTAATTAATCGTGTAACGTTCCTCTCAGTAGTGTTGGCACGGCAAAACTCCAGTGACGAAATCAGTAAGTACATAGCACGCGCCCTGAATCAAGACCCAGCGGTTAAATTCCAACGTTTTAGAATATTAGACGGACACCGAATAATTACAATCGCACGCGATGGAAGGCACTGGACCGAGCGCGCGGTTAC